GGTAAGTAAAATGTTGTGACAGTGAAGACGTGATTGGAGGATATAGGTAATGTAATAGGCCAGGGCAGAACGGGAGTTATCATAACAGTTTAGCACACGTTTGGTCAAAGGATCGGCTCCACTTGTCTCTTTGACGAGTTGTAATATAGTGCTAAGAATGGTGAAACTCACTGACGATGCCGACTACGATGCCGGCGAAACGTCTGGGAATGTACCACGTCCACGGTCTGACTCTGGAAATAATTATGCATACAATTGACTCAAGACAAGGTGCGTTTCTATAAGTCTTCCTACCATTATGACAAAATTGCGAAAACAAGGTCAAACAACTTCTAAATCATTTTTTGTTAAAATTAAGGATCAGCTATTTAACAAATTATTTCCTTAGGAGTAAATCGACTCTCTTCTGAGAAAAATTTCTGTTGCTTGAAACTAGCTCAGGCTTTTTTTTGTCAAATAACGAGCTTTTATGTACTTTCTACGTCTCAGTCCAGATTTTAATTTAAATATTTGGAAATGCCTGCATCTGACTTACCATGTTATCCAACAACAATTATAAACTTAAAGAGCATATAAAAAAACTTTTTATTAAAACCGGCTTGATTTCCTATATTAAAAGACGGATAGGAGGAAGATCAAAAAAAGTTACATGCAACATCAACTTGGAGTGACGGGGACAGCATAATTTAAGGCTATTATATTGTAGGCATAACAAAAAATTATCCCAGGAGCTCTGAAAGCATTATATTGGTTTCTAGCTAGCTGTAGAATAGATATTAGTTAATGTGGTGTTCTAAACACCGACCAATAAATGTTTTTGGTGATGTGTCTGCCTTCTAACCTGAGGTATTAGAGTCAAACGCTGGCGAAGGTCGTGTAAACCGATCTTTGAAATGTCGACACCGTCAATAAGAATGCTGCCATCAGAGGCTTCAAGAGTGCGAAACAATGCTTGCAAGAGAGAGGACTTGCCGGAGCCAGTACGACCGCATATTCCAATCTGAAAAGCAGTAATGCATGAAAGAATAGGTTAAATAAGGAAGCGAACATGCAAATAAATAAAGATTGCATAAATACTTAGGCTAAAAAAAGAGAAAGTGAAGGATATTTGTCTCATAGTGATGACGACCTAAAAACTTAAAGGATAAAAGATTTTTGACCATGTTTTCGCAATTTAGTCGTATTGTCTGTAGGACCTAGAGGAAAGCACCTTGACCGGAATCCATAGTATGCATGATAATTTCCAATCGGACCGTAGACTTGGTGCATTCCAAGACGTTTCGCAAGCACAGTAAATGAGTTATGCCATTGTTAGCACCATACTAAATTCCGTCAAATAGACAAGTGAAGTCTATCCTTCGACAAAAATATCTGCTAAACGGTTGTGGTATCTCTCCGTCTTTCCTGGTGTATTCACCTATCCTATATAATCTTAACGTCCTTCATTATCACAATTTTTACTTGCTTATCTAAACCTATTTTATATGTGCTTTTTTGAGCGGAATAAGTGAGGCCTATTCACACTCCACCCTGGTTCCCACACACCCCCACTGTGCTGGGTGTATTAAGCCAAGATCCTAACACAATTCTCTCCATCCAGGTCCTAGCAGAGTCTCCTCCCTGCCCTGTAAGATCAGTCCATAATCAATCTGATTGAGAAATTTCACTTTATCGCTGACCCTATACTCACGCTACTCGAGGGATAATATTCTAAACTCTGCCTTTGAAAGGAAACCTAACTTGACGATGCAGATTCCCTTATCCCTGTGCGGCATGTGCACCGCGTAAATCTCGTGGTCAAGTCTTAACTTAATGGAACAGGCCTATGATAAAACTCATTTACCAATAGCCAACTATCGATGGTCTCCGTCGAATCTCTCGCTCTTCCATGCCTAATGTCAAGCTTATGGCTTTCTTATGCCTTAGCCTCTTGTGTGTCGACTACCAAATGTGATAGTTCTACTTGATTCGAATAGGCTTGCTGTAGACTTCTCCTTTTGGTTTTCGACTTTTGCCCTCTGGTCTCCTAGCGATTTATTTTCCTAAAATCGAAAATATTACCCTGATATAGTCGTCTTCTTTTTGCTGATCTTGCTGTTCCATAATCGCCGGGAGGAGCAACGGTTGTAATGGACTATCGAAGATAAAATAGGAAGAAAAATCGCTAAAAGTAAGAGTCAAAAACAAGCAAGAAGCTAGGCACGAGCTGGCGAAATTCATTTTAGCGAATCTCATGAAAGTAATTGACAGACACTCGAACATCGTGAAGAAATTATATTAATTTTCTATAAGGATCCAAAAGATTAGGAACTGTTTGTAAGTTTTAACGTACAACGCATGTACACAGACATCTCAAATGAGAAGGAGATAAGCGCTCTGGTGGAGATCTTGGAACGAGAAGAGTATATCCTGCAGGCAGAGCGGATACGGAAGGAGTCATTATGATGAATGATCAACCTGACACTAAGGAGGACCTATTTTACATTCAACTGCAATATCCATGAGCAAATATTTAGACTAACGATGGGACCTCCATTCTCACCACTTTTGGCAAATGTATATATGGACAAATTGGAAGGGGATTCCGAGAAGTCGCCACTGCAACCAAGAGGAGTAATGCGATACTTTACGCATTGGTTGAAAGATAAGAAAGATTAAGATGAGTTTCTCAATTATATAAACCAACTTGATGGAAGAATTAAATTTATAATGAAGGTGGAGGAGGATAAATGACTACCATTCCTGGATGATGAAGTCATTCGCTCCAATGGAGGAGATTTTTCAGAAATAAATCACATGCGGGAATAATATTCAATTTCCAGACTTATCACATCTACAGACTGAAGGATGGAACAATGAGGAGTTTGGCCATCAGAAGCTTAGGACTAATGGACAATGGGTTTTGGGACGAGAAGTTAGACAAACTCACACGGGTAGTCCAAAGAATTTATAGGAAGAAATAATAGGGTCATAAAGAGCAGATTTCAACTTGGATTTTATATAGGTAAGATCAGGATTCTCTAATGTCATGACAACCTAACTTGACGATACAGATTCCCTTATCACTGTGCGGTATGTGCACCGAGTAAATCTCGTGATAAAGCCTTTACTTAATAGACCACGTCTAGAAGCAAACTTATCTACTAATAGCCAACAATCAATGGTCAACACCGTATCTCTCGCTCTAGTGGTATTGAAAGGGTGATACAAAGATATAGGATAGCTGAATAGCCCAGGACACATAGAGGGATACCACAACTGTGTAGCAGACAATTGCTCAAAAGATCGACTTCACTTCTCTCTTTGCTGAGTTGTAGTGTAGTGCTAAGACAGACAAGGCTTACTAACGATGCTAGCGAAACATCTGAGAATGCATAAAATCCACAGTCTATGAAAATTATCATGCATACTATGGACTCCGGACAGGCTGCATTCCTCTAGGTCTTCCTGCTAATATGATCAAGTTGCGAAAATAACGTCAAACAACTACCAAGATAACATAATTTTTGACTGTCAATAATCCAAGTAAATTAATCTAAGTCAGCTAAAGTTAGTTTGTGTTTACTGACTGTAAAAATGTCAACATTTTTGGTATGATCCCCTTTTTCTTCTAG